GCAAAGTCGTAAACAAAAAATACAGCGGAGGGGAATGAGCATATCTTCCCAAACACTCAGCAAAGGAGATAAAAAAAAGAGTTCATCTGCATTCCCTGGTTTCTACACAGGAATTTTGTTGTATTAGGACAAGACAGAAGGGAAGAGTGTGTGTTACTACTACTACGAGAGAGAAGAAGAAGAAGAGAGATAGAGGGAGGGATGGAGGGAGAGGGAGAGGAGGGAGGGAGGGAGGGAGGGAGGGAGGGAGGGAGGAGGAGGAGGAGGAGGGAGGGAGGGAGGGAGGGAGAGGGAGAGAGGGAGGGAGGGGAGAGAGAGAGAGAGAGAGAGAGAGAGAGAGAGAGAGAGAGAGAGAGAGAGAGAGAGAGAGAGAGAGAGAGAGGAGAGAGGGAGAGAGAGAGAGAGAGAATTAGCGCATCTCAACGATAAAATCCACCCAAAAAACTAAACAAACGCGGAAAACAGAAAGAGAGAATGAAAGAAAAAGATCAGTCCCACTACCCGAACACAGAAAAAAAGACCAAAAAAAAAAAGACAAAGAATTCTGCATTGTATACACACGGAAGGAGGTTCACAGTGTTAAGGGCGAGGAAGAGTGTTTCATAAGTGTGTTACCGAAGGCTCCCAACACCTCACTCCAGACGCATTACTGTCACAACCCGGTACTTCGCGGTGGTCCAATATCAACACCTTTAAAACTTCTCCCCGTCCCCTTCCTCTCTCTCTCTCTCTCTCTCTCCTCTCTCTCTCTCTCTCTCTCTCTCTCTCTCTCTCTCTCTCTCTCTCTCTCTCTCTCCTCTCTCTCTCTTCTTTCCTTTCTTTCTTTCTTCTTTCTTTCTTTCTTTCTTTCTTTCTTTCTTTCTTTCTTTCTTCTTTCTTTCTTTCTTTCTCTTCTCTCTCTCTCTGCCTCTCTCTCTGCCTCTCCTCTCTCTCTCTCTCTCCTCTCCCTCTGCTCTGCCTTTCCCTCTCCCTCTGCCTCTCCCTCTCCTCTCCTCTCCCTCTCCCTCTCCCCCTCCCCCTCCTTCTCCCTCTCCCCCTCCCTCTCCCCTCCCTCTCCCCTCTCCCTCCCTCTCCCTCTCTGCTCCATAAGGATGTAGCTACTGCAAGGGAGGTTATGAAAGACTAAAATACAGGAAGTGCATCTTAGGACACAGCTGAGTACCCTAAATTGAGGGTAGCGATTCGACGACAATATTTAACACTTAGATACACTTGGATACACTTGGGGCACTTGGGAGAGGGTATGAGTAAATTTAGGAACAGCGTTTATTTTGGGAATCTTCATGATATACTAGGATATCTGAAGGAGGATATGTGAGGGTATTCAACATGTATATAGGACATTATTAGATATAATTTCATATCTAGAACAGGGTAGACAAGAGGAAAGGAAGGAGTGGCGGGAGTGGATACAGGAGAGAAGTTGAGAGGAGAGGTGAGTCCAGAAAAGAGAGGAGAATAGAACAAAGAGAGAAGAGAAGAAAAAGAAAAGACAGGATAGAGAAAAAGATAAACAGAGAGAGAAAAAGAAAGAAGAGAAACGAAAGAAAGGAAAGGAAAGGGGAAGAGAAGAGAAAATCCGCGAGAGAGAAGATCCGATATTCACCGCCAGCAATTCGCCTCCATATAGGTCGTGTTCGCCGCCCCTTCCCGTCCCCTAAGTTCAGCCGGAAGATGTTTTACGACGGTTGTCCACAATAACTACGGCGACGCGGCGACGCTTAAAAACAACGAGGCCCATTAGTCAGGGGGGCGAGTGAGGACGGGTTCGCACGCACGCACGCACGCACACACACGCGCGGGCGAGGAGGGAGCCAAGAGATAGTGAATGAGTAAGTGCAGCGCCGCATTCCCGGTGGGTGTGGCAACCTGACTCATGGCGACTACCTGACTCAGAGTGGCAGCTGCACTTATAAGTTCGTAAGTTTATTTCGGTGCGTCTGGCTCCGCGATTCGAACAAGGGCGGCAGGGAGGGAGGGCAGGGAGGGAAGGGCATTCCTGATCGCTATATTATTTACCTATTTATAGCACTGGAGACTTATAAATGGACATCTCCGACGGGCGTGAAACTGCCATCGCCCATCACGGCCGTGCCTCGACGCGCCTGATTCGCGAGGCACCGCTCTCCCTCCCTCAGATAGCCATGCACCTACGGGCGCACGCACCGACGTCGCCCTCACCCACCACGCACCCGAGCCATGCATGACACGCGCACCCCTTGTCATGGCACACCTCACCTGTCACCCCGAAGTCGTGTGTCACAGGCGACCCGTGTAATTGTTGGGAAGGCTTGACAAATAGACACTAACACGCCCTGATTCCCTGCGCAAACAATGGCCGAAGGAGATACACGGCGTCTGGGATGCGGTCCGGCGCCGGCACGAATCCCACGGCGGACGGAGGACGTGTAAACAAGGGACGGCGGCGGACGGCGTTCAGGATCGACGGCCATGAGCAGCTAGCCCGAAAAAGGAAGCGAAGAAAAGGGAAAAGGAGTGTAGAAGAATATCCTTCAACAAGTAGGCGAAGGATGCGAGAAGACGTCCTCTTTGCATCCTCAGAGAAGCGGCCATGAGCAGAGGGCTTTTTAGCTTCCCTGGACGAGCAGGTCATGGGCAGACTTCCCGAGGCTCAAGCAGGACCCAAAAAAGAAAGGAAGAAAAGAGAGAAAAAGAGAAAGAAAAATTAGACACGGACATCCTTTAACATCCCTGAAGTTGTGGTCATGAACAAACGTCCCGCAGCTCTGACAAGTAAAGAAAAACATAAACAAAACACCTTTTTATTATCCTTGGAGAAGTGGTCATGAGCAAGCTTCCTGGGGCTCTGACAGGGGGCGCGGAAACACAAAAACAAAACAACAGCAAAAATCCTGCAGCATCCCTAAAGGGGCATCATAAGCAGTCTTCTCGAGGCCCTGTCAGGAGGTGGATCACGGGCACTAAAGGCATGCAATTAGAGATGCTGATTTCCTCCCGCTGCGAATCTCATTCCAGGGGCATTTGCAAACCCTGCATACCGTATGCCCTCTGACACCCCCCCCCCCCATTCCCCCCAAAAAATAACAATTAAAAAAATAACCTCCCCTTCTTAACGATAATAACAATAAAGAAAAAAAAAGAAAAGAAAAAAAGGCGTTCCCGAAATGATCGTGTTTTTTACGAGTCAGCATCTGATCGTTCTCCCGGGCCATGGCTACATTACGTACTCTCCCCCGTGGTTAGTCCGCACCGCAACGACCTCACATCAGAAGCGAAAACTTAGAACGTCAGCGAAATTATATTTAAAGAACGGCAAGTTATTTTCGCGTGTAAGGCAGAGGCAGAGGAGGCGCTGGGGTGGTCATCGTGACACCGTAATGTATACAGAAACAGGTATTTTTACTGGTAATGCTATATTCTTTAATGAGGACTGGCATCCGTATACAAACGAGAGAGAGAGGGGGGGGGGTGAAGAGGAAGAGTGGAGGGAGGGAAGGAGGGAGGGAAGGAGAGGGAGAGAGAAGTAGAAGGATAGACAAGATAAATAGAACTATAGACCTAAAAATACATAGATAGAAGGATAAGACATAAAAATACACAGAGAAAGAGCTACAAACAGAGATACAAATAAACAAAAGACATAAAAAAAATACATAGACACCCACACACACAGAAACACCAACGAAGACAAAATACAACACAGAGACCACCACCACCAGCATCCGAATCTCAATTGGTTAATGAACCGATGCAGCAGCATCCCCAGCCGCCGCGTCCTCTTCATCCTCCTCCCCAGCATCCCTCCTTCTCAGCATCCTCCTCCCCAGCATCCCAGCCGCCGCGTCCTCTCAGCTCCTCCTCCCCAGCATCCCCAGCCTCCTCAGCAGCATCCCCAGCCGCCCGTCCTCTCAGCATCCTCCTCCCAGCATCCCCAGCAGCATCCTCCTCCCAGCATCCCCAGCCGCCGCGTCCTTCTCCCATCCTCCTCCCCAGCATCCCCAGCCGCCGCGTCCTCTCAGCATCCTCCTCCCCAGCATCCCCAGCGCCTCGTCCTCTCAGCATCCTCCTCCCCAGCATCCCCAGCCGCCTCGTCCTCTCAGCATCCTCCTCCCCAGCATCCCCAGCCGCCGCGTCCTCTCAGCATCCTCCTCCCAGCATCCCAGCCTCTCCTCTCAGCATCTCCTCCCAGCATCCCCAGCCTCCCTCAGCCTCCTCTCCAGCATCCCCAGCCGCCAGCATCCCAGCGCCACGTCCTCTCAGCCTCCTCCTCCCAGCATCCCCAGCCTCCTCCCCAGCATCCTCCAGCCCTCCCAGCCTCCTCCTCTCCCAGCATCCCTTGCATCACTCTGCCTGCCTCTCCCGAAGCGATTCTCCTCGTAAAGATGATGCAAGGAGACATTCCGCTGAGGAGGCGAGGCGACATCTTTGCTGAAGTGTTTGGGCGAAACGGGGGAGATTTGCTGAAGTGGGGTGGGGGGGGGGGGGATGGGGGGATGAGGGAGAGGAGGAAGGAAGGTTGAGATGGATGGAAAAGATGATGATGGGAAAAGAAGACGTGAGAAGAGGGGAAGAGAGTAGAAAAGATAAAGGAAAAGGACGAGGAGGAGGAGAAGGAAGGGGAGATAGAAAGAGAGCAAGGAGGACGGAGACGCGGTGAAGAAGAAAGAGGAGGAAGAAAGAGGGATACGGAAAAGAAGAGGAAAAAGAAGAAAAGGAAGAGGGAGAAGAAATAGCAAAATGTGAAGAGGAGAAGGAAGAAGCAAAAGAGATAAAAGCAGAAATTGAAAAGAAGAAGCTAGTGTATAAAATTAATGCAAAGGAAAAAGAAAAAGAAAAAAATAAAGGAAAACAAAACAAAAAAAAGAAGAAAAAATACGGAAAACAAATGAAAACCAAGAAAAAAAATCTGAGAAAAAAAGAAAAGAAAGAATATCAAGAACAACAGAATCAACCTCCAAACAAGGCATACAAAACAAATTTAAAAAAAAATAACACCACAAAGAAAAAATACATACACAAAATACAAGAAAAAAACACACCAGCCTCTTGTTAGGGGAAAGCGTTCTTTGTTCTGGCAGCAAATTACACTTAGCGCGGGCGGATAATTAGGCTTAATAAAATGATCATCATAAAGGGGTCTCATGATTAATACCCAGCGGGAGGGAGGCTCGGAGGGAGCATAACGAGCGCTGCTGAGACTCCTCTTCCCTCCCTTCCCCTTCCCCTCCCCTTCCCCATCTCTCCTTCCCCTCCTCCCCTCTCCTTCCCCTCCCCCCCCTTCCTTCCCCGAAGACTCTCCTCTCCCTCCCTTCCCTCCCTTCCCCCCCCCCTTCCTTCCCCTCCTTCCCCTTCCTTTCCCTCCCTTCTCCCCCCTCTCCCTTCCCCGACTTTAATTTCGTTTTACTTCGTTTGCTTTCTTATATAGTTTCTTCACTTCTTTTGCTACTTCTTTTCTCTTTGTTTTTAGTCTTCTTATTTCTTCCTTTCTCCCTTCCTTTCTCTATCTGCAAGTATCCTTTTCTCCTTTCCCCTTTTCTTCTTCCTCCTTCCTCCTCCCTTCCCTCCTTCCCTCCTCCCCCTCCCTTCTTCCCTCTCTCCACCTCTATTCTTTTTCTCCTTCATTCTTCTTTCTTCTATCGCTTCCTCCACTCTCTCTTCTCTCTCTCACTCCTCCTTTCTTTTCTCTCCTCCTCTCTTTTTCCTCTCTCTCCTTCTTTCTCTTCTCCCCCTCTCTCTCCCTTCTCTCACTACTCTCTTCTCTCTCTTCCTCCTATCTCTCACTCCTCCTTCTCTTCTCCCCTTTCTCTCATCTCCTCCTCTCTCCCTCCCCTCTCCCTCTCTCCTCTCTTTCCCTCTCCTCATCTCCTTCTCTCTTCTCCCTCTCTCTCCTCCCCTGTCCCCTCTCTCCTCTCCTCCGGTCGTCGTGAACCCTGCGGTGGCAGTAATTCCCCCGGGGGGGGTGAAAGTGGAAGCAGAAGGAGGATGGAAGGAGGGGGAGAGAGGTGGAAGGAAAAGACGAGAGAGAGGAGAGGAGGAGAGAGGAGGAGGAGGAGGAAGAGGAGGAGGAGGAAGGAGAAGAAAGGAAGAGTGAGGAGGAGGAGTTGGAGTGGGAGGAGAAGGCAGTGGAGGAGGAGGAAAGGAAGAAAAAAGAAGAAAATGAAGAAGGTGATGAGGGAGCTGGAGTAGGAGGAGGAGAAGAAGGCAGAGGAGGAAGAGGAAGAAGAGAAGGAATAGAAAGAAAAAGAAGAGAAGAGGGAGAAGACGAGGAGGAAGAGATAGAGAATAATGATAAGAATAATAATGCCAAAGAGGAGGAGAGAGAGAGAGATCGAGAGAGAGAGAGATAGAGGCGGAGGCATGACTTTGCTGAGACCATGTGGTGGATGCGCCAATGCCCCGGACCCAGACTTGTAACCCATTTATTCTCTGTGGTTTCGTGTGCGTGGAAGAAATACGAAAATAATGGAGAAAATCAAATGAAAAAAATGGAAGTAGAGGTAAATATAAACTCAGAATTTTGTAAGATGGATTGTCTTGGGTTTAGGATGGAAAGTGTGTGTGTGTGTGTGTGTGTGTGTGTGTGTGTGTGTGTGTGTGTGTGTGTGTGTGTGTGTGTGTGTGTGTGTGTGTGTGTGTGAGTGAGTGTGAGTGAGTGAGTGAGTGAGTGTGTGAGTGAGTGAGTGAGTGAGTGTGAGTGAGTGACAGTGAGTGAGTGTGAGTGAGTGATGAGTGATGAGTGAGTGAAGGTGAGTGAATGAGTGACTACTTGCGCGAGTGTGTGCGTTGCATGCGTGTGCGTGCGTATTCTTGAGTGCACACATACACCTTACGTCATATATACTTATACGCCTTACAAAAAATACAACACAATATATCCTTCCCAACATTCTACCCCAAAGAATAATTTCGATTTCCTATCCACACCGCATCCATTCCCCCCCCCCCCCCCCCTTCCGTGAACCACATCTCCGAATAATCGCCCTTATGGCTTAAGCGAATTACGGCCGTCAAACCGACGCTCGCTCGCCGACGTACGAGTCACATCCTCTCGTGACGTCATGGGATTTATCTTTTTTTCTCTCGTATTAAAATTTTTTTTCTTTTTCTTTATTTTTTTTCTTTTCGTCTGTTTTTTTTTCTTTTTCTTCGCTTTATTTTCCTTTTCATATCATGTTTCTTTTTCTTCTGTTCTTGCTTATCTTTTTCTCTTCCCTCCTTTATCATTATATTCTTAATCTTCATTTCATATCTTTTTCCTCCTCCTTCTTCTTCTTAATCTTCATCTCTATCTCCTTCCATTCTCATCATCGTCCTCGTCTTTTCCTCCTTCTTAATCTCCATCTTGCACTCTTTCTCCTTCCCTTCCTCAATCCTCCATCCCCCCACCCTTTTCCACCCTCCCTTCCCCTTACCACACACCCCTTCCCCCTCTCCACCCTCCCTTTTCCCTTAACCACACACCCCTCCCCTCTCCACCACCTCCTCTCCCTTTACCACATCCCCCTCCCCTCTCCACTCCCCTACCCCTAACCACATACCCCTTCCTTCTCCAGCCCCTCCCTTTCCCTTACCACATACCTCTCCTTTCTCCACCCCTCCTCTTCCCCTTACATATCCCCTCCTTTCTCTACCCCCCACTCCCAAGCCCACCCACCCCCTCCCTTCCCCTTACCACATCCCCCTCCATTCCCCCTCACCCCCACCCCTTCCCCAACCCCATCCCCTCCCTTCTCCACCCCCTCCCTTTCCCCTTCCCCATCCCCATCCCCTCTCCCCCCCTCCCCTTCCCTTACCACACAACCCATCTCCCTTCTCACCCCCCACCCCCACCCCACCCCACCCTCCTACCTTCCGTGTCGCCGACGTGTGTTTTCCGTCGGCGTTTCTCGGAAGTCTCGGACCGTCGGGGCCCGTCTCGGGGTTTCGCGATGCCTGAGGTCGCCACGCACGATCTGGGTTCGTGGTCATGCCCTTTTTTTTTTTATTTTTTTTTTTTGTGTTGGTTGTTTTTTTTTTTTTTTTTTTTTTGGGGGGTTGGGTGGAGTGGTTGGAGTTGTGGCCTTTTTTTTTCATTTTTTATTATTATTTTTTTTTTTTTTTTGGGGGGGAAGGGGAGGAGGTGGTTTTTCCTTCTTTTTTTTTTTTTTTCTTTTTTTTTTTTTTTTTGGGGGGGGGGGTGGAGGTGGAGGTGGTTGCCCTTCTTTTTTTTCGTTTTTTTTGGGGGGGTGGAGTGGAGGTGGGGGGTGAAACACGCACGTGTGAAAATATGGAGAGATGGGTAGACAGGTAGGTAAATAGATAGATAGGCAGATATATAGATAGACGGATAGATATACAATCACACATATAAACACAAAAATAACTATAATTACCTACCCGTACACAAACACATACACAACACGTACACACACACAAACGAGCAAACACAAACAGGTACACACGCATACGGACCCACATGCATACAAGCCCCATGTACACACCCCTAAAACACATTCCCAAACGCACACAACAAAAAACACACACAGAAAAACAAATGTGCACATATCACCTACAACTTATTAAAACTCGACAAGGCCATCTGCTCCAATAACTGTTAATAAATAATAAAACAAAATTCTTTGATAAAAAAAATTGAACAAAGCATAGCGTCACCTGAACACCAGGAGTAATCACGGGAATAATTAAAGAATTCTTCACATAATTCTTCGCCCGCGAGACAAAGAATAGTGAAGTGAACATTAAAAAATACATGTACGGCTTCATATTAAAATACAGGAGGAGGGAGAGGGAGGGAGGGAGTGAGGGGGGGTAAAGGGGAACGAAGGGGGAAGAGGTAGAGGCAAAGAGAGAAGAAGAGAGAAATGGAGATAGATAGACAGAGATTGATAGATAGATACGATAGAGAGAGAGAGAGAGAGAGAGAGAGAGAGAGAGAGAGAGAGAGAGAGAGAGAGAGAGAGAGAGAGAGAGAGAGAGAGAGAGAGAGAGAGAGAGAGAGAGAGGAGAGAAAGAGAAGAGAGCAGAGAGAGAGACAGAGAGACAGAGAGACAGAGAGACAGAAACAAACAGACAGAAAAAAGGAAAGGAACGGAGAAAGAGAGAGAAAAAAACCGTGAATGATAAAATTCCTCCCATTTCACAACAAACTTCCTTATCCTTCCGGAGAAATTGGACGACGTCAAGCCACCGTCTCAACCAATTACCATTTATCTCCTCACGGCTGCTAATTGTTTGAACAACAAGGGACTAACGAAAGCGTTTGTCGTCTTCAAAACAATGCAACGGACATTTTATACGGATCTCCCATAACCCTTTTAAAAATCTCTTCGGCTTTGTTGTATGGCGAAGCGGTTTTTTTTGTCGACGAATTCCGCCCTTCAGAAAAAATACGTTGTGTTTATTTATTTCCCTCTCTCTTTCTTTCTCTCTCTCTGTCTTTCTGTCTTTCTCTCTCTCACTCTCTGTCTTTTCTCTCTCACTCTCTCTTTCTGTCTTTCTCTCTCTTTCTCTCTCTCTCTCCCTCTCTTTCCTTTCCTTCTCTTTTCTCTCTCTCTCTCTCTTTCTTTCTCTCCCCCTCTTTCTTTCTCTCCCTCTCTCTCTCTTTCTCTCCCTCTCTCTTTCCTCTCCTTCTCTTTCTTTCTTTTCTTTTCTTTTTCTCCACTCTCTTTTCTCCATCTCTTTCTTTCTCTCCCTCCCTCTCATTCTTTCTCTCCCTTCTCGCACTCTCCCTCTCTCCCTCTCTCCCTCTCTCTCTCCCTCCTCCTCCTCTCCTCTCTCTCCTCTCTCTCTCTCTCTCTCTCTATCTTTGTTTAAAAAATCTCCACAAACAGATATATTCTACATTTTTTTCTAATATTCCTTTTGTTTGAGAATTTTGTATTTTCATTTATGAGACGCGATAAAACAAAATATCCTTCGAAGGAAATAACCGATAGGCGCAGAACCCTGTCAAAGGGAAAAATGATATTGGGATTATATTTTATACTTTATTTTCCCGGCTCTTTCAGTATGGGGGAGATAGAGCGAAAGAGATAGGGAGAAGGAAGGGGAGATAGGAGAGGGAAGGTTGGAGGGATGGGGGAAACAAAAGTGAGCAGAAGAGGTGAGGAAAAGCTTGAATGAAAGAGAGAGAACGAGCGAGAGAGAGGGAGAGAGCGAGAGAGAGGAAGAGAGGAGAGAGAGGAGAGAGGGAGAGAGCAGAGAAGAGAGGAGAGAGAGGAGAGAGAGAGAAGAGGAGAGAGAGAGAGAGAGAGAGAGAGAGGAAGAGAGAGGGAGAGAGAGAGAGAGAGCGAGAAGAGAGAGAGAGAGAGAGAGAGAGAGAGAGGAGCGAGAGAGAGAGAGAGAGAGAGAGAGGAGAGAGAGAAGAGAGAGAAGAGAGAAGAGAGAGAGGAGAGAGGAGAGAGAGAGAGAGAGAGAGGCGGAGAGAGAGAGAGAGAGGAGAGAAGAGAGAGAGAGAGAGGAAGAGAGGAGAGAGAGAGAAGAGAGAGAAGAGAGAGAGAGAGAGAGAGAGAGAGAAGAGAGGAGAAAGAGAAGATAGACAGAAGAGGAAGACAAGAGAAGAGAAGAGAGAGCGAAGAGGACAAGAGAAGAGAGAGAAGAGGAAGAGAAGCGAAGAGAAGAGTGAGAAGAGAAGAGAAGAGAAGAGAAGGAGAGAGGCGAGAAGAGAGAGAGAGAGGAGAGAGAGAGAGAGAGAGAGAGAGAGAGAGAGAGAGAGAGAGAGAGAGAGAGAGAGAGAGAGAGAAGAGAGAAGAGAGAGACTTAGACAGACAGACAAACAGACAACCAAACAAGACACACAAACCCACAAACCCCAGAGACAAACAGCAACGCAAAGACAACAAGAGCCCCAGCACCCCTGACCCCCCCCCCCCCGTCCCTCCAAGCGGCGGCACTCGCACCCCAGCGCCAGCGAGGAGTGCCTGTGAGGGTGGCGTGACCGCGTCCCCCAAAATGCCTCTACAGTGCCACACTTTACCATGACATTTACACGACCTTGGCATCAATGGCGGGGCAATTTGACGTCGCTTTGAAGTCGGATTCTCGCCCTTGTTTGAACCTTGTTTGGAAAGGTCACACGCAAACATGAATAACCGCATACGTGGCTGCACATGCACACACACGCGGGAAAGTCTACTAAATGCACATATTGCGTGCATCTTGCAGCTCAGAACGGCGGGTTTTTACTCTCGCTACCCCCATTATGCCCCAACTTCGCACCTTAATCAATTTGATTCATTACCAAACAATGCTTCATTAACAACTTCCAAGAAAAAGACAGGTATTCGGATCCTGTCGAGTTCACGTCAGAAAAAAGGCGGAGAATTGGACATCATGCAGCGGAGAACAAGGTAATGGTAGAGTTCTTTGTTCTTCGCTTAACCCGCAAAGGCAATAATCTACACTTTTAAGAGTGAATACGCGCGGAGTTTTATATAACGGAGCTTAGACTAACATAAACGCAAACAAACAAACATTCACGCACACCTACACCTACATGCACATACATACATGCGTACATATATGCATAAATAAATACAAACACACACATATACACGCACACATACTCACATATCTATCTATCTATCTATATGTATGTATGTATATATATATAAACACACACACACACATCTATCTATCTATCTATATGTATGTAGATATAAATAAACACACATACACACACACAAACAAACACACACACACACACACACACACACACACACACACACACACACACACACACACACACACACACACACACACACACAGGCATGTGTCAGAGACTAACTAGCCTACGAGAATAAGGCCTCTCACTAGTCCCTATTCCCTAAGGGGGTGCAGTCCTTGGGTTACCCCCTCCCCCTCTCCTTTCCCTCTCCCCTCCCCCTCTCCCTCTCCCTTCTTAAAGCCTGATCTCCTCTTTATTCTGTATACTCTTTATTACCCTTTTTTATCATTTATTTGATATTGGTAATATTCACACTTGCCAAAATTCAACAGACTTAGGATAGGCCTATATCTATTTTATACTCGGCCTATTCGACTCCGATCGAGTGTTCAATGTATTTCGTTTTGGGCGGATTATTTACATACGAATATCGTATATAAAAAATTGCAGATTTATACTTCCGTTGTCCCTCAGGAGCGATTCTCCGGGTACCTTGTTCTTGTTCTTCTTGTTCTTGTTCTATTATTATTATTATTATTATTCCTTTTCTTTTCTTCTTCTTCTTCCTGTTCTTCCCTTTCCTCTTCTCCTTCCCTTTCTCCTTCTGTCTCTTTCTCCTTCTATCTCCCTCTCTCCCTTTCCTCTTCTCCTTCCTTCCTCTCTCTTTCCCTTTCTCCTTCCTCTCGCCCTCTCCCTCTTCCTCCTTCCCCTTCTCTTTCTCCTTCTCCCTCTTCCCCCTTTCCTTAACCTTCTACAAAACGCCGAAACTAAAGGTGCCGTCACACTATGGTTTCTATGGCTTCTCTGCAGCGACCATATCTCCCCAAGATCTACTTAAGGAAGTCTTGGCGAGGTGAGTATTGTTTCTCTGAGGAGTTCTTAATGCGACAAAATCCACCGAAAAAAGGGGATTCGTGAAAAAAAAATAATAATAATAATGTGAGGGTCACACTTCATTCATTTTTCAACAGTAAAATAAGACTTGGGAAGGTATTCATTGATATTATTATTCATCAAAATTGATTTAATCATCCTTTGGGTTATTCAATCTATTTATTTCTCAATCTATCTATCCATCTATTTCACTTTCTGTCTGTCTGTCTATCTATTTATCTATCTATTTGACCGTCTGTCTGCCTGTCTATCTCCCTATCTATCTATCTACCTATCTATCTATCTATCTATTTGACTGTCAGTCAATCTATCCACCTATCTATCTATCTACTCATCTATCTAACTCTCTCTCTCTCTCTCTCTCTCTCTCTCTCTCTCTCTCTCTCTCTCTCTCTCTCTCTCTCTCTCTCTCTCTCTCTCTCTCTCTCTCTCTCTCTCTCTCTCTCTCTAATGCAATGCAACTTCCATTACACGCACGGATGTGTACCCTTTCATATATAAATAATTACTCGTAGAACGCCTTCGCATGACTCGAATACACACCCACGTATAAAAAAAGGATCTGAAACACACCGATGGAGTAATCAGCATCAGTCCGGCTCATTACGATGCCAAAGGAAGGTGTAATCGGTTCCTTTATGAATGTAAATCGCACGTATCTGTGTATACTGGATGCGGTTCCTTCACAGCATCTTGGGGTATCGTGTCTGAGAAGGAGTTGGAGAGGGGGTGGGAAGGAGTGGGGGAGGTAGAGGGAGGGAGGGAGAGGAGGACGCTGGGGAAGAGAGAGAGAAAAGAGAGGAAGAGGCAGAGGCAAAGAGAAAGAGAGAGAGAGAGGGGTGCAGGGAGGAAGGAGAGGAGAGAGAGAGAGTAGAGAGGAGAGGAGAAAGAAAAAGAGAGAGAGAAGAGAAAATAAAGAGAGAAGAGAAGAGAAAAAGAGAAAAGACAAAGAATCAGACAAACACAGACACAGAGAGGAGGAGAAAGGCACATACAGGGAGAAGAGAAAGGACGCACATACAGTAACATCGATATAATATCCGTACAACCGGTTAAATACCCTCCCCTCCCCCCTTCCCCCCCCCCCCCTTTCCCGCTATTACCTACCTTATCCGTTTTCGATAAAGAACCGACGCCGAGAACAGAGAACCGAAAACCGTGGGCGTGGGCGCCGCCAGATTCGTGTCGCGGGTGGGTGGGCGGAGGAGCAGACGGGGTGGGGGGAGGGGGGGTATATGGAGTGGGCGGGAGCAGACGGGGTGGGGAGAGAGAGGGTTAGATGGGTGGGGAGAGGGGCAGCCGGGGTAGGAGGGAGAGGGGGTAGACGGGGTGGGGGGAGAGGGGGTAGATGGGGTGGGGGAGAGGGGGTAGACGGGTGGGGGAGAGGGGGCAGCCGGGGTAGGAGGAGAGGGGGTAGACGGGGTGGGGGGAGAGGGTAGATGGGGTGGGGGAGAGGGGGTAGACGGGTGGGGGAGAGGGGTAGACGGGTGGGTGGAGAGGGGGTAGGATGGGGTGGGGGGGAGAGGGGCAGCCGGGGTAGGAGGAGAGGGTGTAGACGGGTGGGGGAGAGGGGGTAGATGGGGTGGGGGAGAGGGGTTAGACGGGGTGGGGGAGAGGGGGTAGACGGGGTGGGTGGAGAGGGGGTAGATGGGGTGGGGGGAGAGGGGGCAGCCGGGGTAGGAGGAGAGGGGGTAGACGGGGTGGGGGGAGAGGGGGTAGATGGGGGTGGGGGGAGGGGTAGACGGGGTTGGGGGAGAGGGGTAGACGGGGTGGGTTGGAAGGGGTAGATGGGGTGGGGGGGAGAGGGGCAGCCGGGGTAGGAGGAGAGGGTGTAGACGGGGTGGGGGGAGAGGGGTAGATGGGCGTGGGGAGGAGGGGGTAGGGGGGAGAGGGGGCAGACGTGGTGGGGGAGAGGGGGTAGCCGGGGTAGGAGGAGAGGGGTACGGGGTGGGGGAGAGGGGGTAGATGGGGTGGGGGAGAGGGGGTAGGGGGGAGAGGGGGCAGACGTGGTGGGGGAGAGGGGGTAGATGGGGTGGGGGAGAGGGGTAGGGGGAGAGGGGGCAGACGTGGTGGGGGAGAGGGGGCAGCCGGGAGGAGGAGAGGGGTAAACGGAGGTAGGGGGAGAGGGGTAGATGGGGTGGGGGAGAGGGGGTAGGGGGAGAGGGGGCAGACGTGGTGGGGAGAGAGGGGTTAGATGGGGTGGGGAGAGTGGCAGACTGGTGGGGGGGAGAATGGGCAGCCGGTGGGCGGAAGGGGGGTAGACGGGTAGGAGGAGAGGGGTAGACTGGGTGGGGTAGGGGTTGATGGGGTGGGCAGAGGAAGGGTAGACGGGGTGGGGGGAGAGTGGGCAGCCGGTGGGGGGAGAGGGGGTAGACGGTGTGGAAGGAGGGGGCAGACGGGGTGGGGGGGAGAGTGGGCAGGCCGGGTGGCGGGGAGGGGGTAGACGGGGTGAGTGAGTGTGTAGGGGTGGGCGTGGGGGTTTAAGTCGTGTTTTCAGGGCGGGCGGCCGAAAAGAAAAGAGGAAGTGGGAGGAACGGAGTGTGGGAAAGGAGAGAGGGCAAGAAAAAGAGGTGAAGGAGGACAAAGGAGAGAGAGGAGAGAGAGAGAGAAGAAAGAAGAGAGGAGAGGAGAGAGGAGAGAGGAGAAAGAGACAAAAGAGAGAAGAAAAAAGAGGAAGAGAAAAAAAAGAGGAAGAAGGAAAGAGAGTGAAAAGAAAGATAGAATGAACAGAGGAAACAGAGAAAATGAGAGAGAGAGAGAGAGAGAGAGAGAGAGAGAGAGACGAGAGAGAGAGGAGAGAGAGAGGAGAGAGAGAGAGAGAGAAGAGAGAGAGAGAGAGAGAGAGAGAGAGAGAGAGAGAGAGAGAGAGAGAGAAAGAGAAAGAGACAAGACAGACAGACAGAAACCGAAAAACAGAAAACTATAACCAAGAGACAGAGACACAAACCAAGAAATTGAATGATGAAAAAAAAAGAAGAAAAAAAGAAAACTAAAAAAAAACACAGAAACAAATCAAAACAGAGGAAATGCGCTCTCCACGGCCCGCCAAGACGGCAACACCACCACCACCATCAACCCAAACAAATGAAGATCAAGATGCGCATCGGACGCCGCTGCTGACGAAAGGTGGGGCTTTAATAAAGTTAATAATAAAATCAACTGACGCCCGTAGATAAAACCTGAGGGCGCCCCCCGTGTCAGCCGCTGCGCCGCCGTCAGGAATATACACCCTCTTCTCGCGCCCTCTCTCTCATTTTGTCATTATCTCCTTCGTTTTCTGTTTGTTCCCTCTCTCTCTTTTTTTATTTGATGTTGCGTTGCGCTCTTTCTCATTTTGTTATTATCTCTTTCGTTTTCTTTTATTCCCTCTCTCATTTTGTCATTATCTCTTTCGTTTTCTTTTATTCCCTCTCTCTTTTCATTTGATGTTGCGTTATGACTCTCTAATTTTGTTATTTTCTCTCTCGTTTTCTTTATTCCCTCTCTGATTTTGCCATTATCTTTCGTTTTCTTTATTTCCTCTCTCTTTTTATCTGATGTTTGTCATTATATCTCGTTTTCTTTTCATTCCCTCTCTCTCTTTTTTTATCTTTTTTTAATCCGTTATTCCGCTGTTTTTTTTCCCGTCGTTTCATATGGCCCGGCGGATCGTTCGACGCCTACGGATCCCTTCGCTTCGCCGTCGCCTTTAAACGCGGGTCGATGGCACGTGCGGTAGACAAGGAGGGAAGGGAGGGAAAGGGAGGAGAAAGGGTGGAGAAAGGGAGGGGGAGAGGGAGAGGAAGGGGTGGAGGAGAGGGAAGGGGTGGAGAAAGGGAGGAAAGGGAGAGGGAGCGAAGGGAGAGGGAAGGGAGGAAGGGGTTGGGAAGGGAGAAAAAAGGTGGAGAAAGGGTGGGAGAAGGAGGGAAGGGGAGAGGAAGGGAGAGGGGGGAAGGTGAGAAGGGAGGGAAGGGGAGGGAAGGAAGGAAAGGGGTGGAGGGGTGGAGGAAGGGAGGAAGGGGTGGAAAGGGGAAAACAGGTGGAGAAAGGGAGAGTAAGGAGGGGGAAGGGGAGAGGAGGGAGAAAAAGGAGGGGAGGGGGAAGGGAAGAGAAAGGAGGAAGTGGAGAGAGGAGGGAGGGAAGGGGAGGGGAGGGTGGAGAAAGGGAGGGAAGGGGTGGAGAAAGGGAGGGAAAGAAGAGGGAGAAAGGAGGGAAGGGGAGGGAAGGGTGGAGAAAGGAGGGAAAGGGTGGAGAAAGGGAGGGAAAGGAGGGGAGGGAAAGGGTGGAGAAAGGGAGGAAAGGGGAGGGAAGGGAGGAAAAGGGTGGAGAAAGGGAGAGGAGGGAGGGAAAGGGTGGAGAAAGGGAGGGAAAGGGAGAAAAAGGGGAGAGGAGTTGGAGAGGAGGGAGAGGAGGGGAAGGGGAGGGAGGGGAGGGAAGGGAAAGGGAGGGAAGGGGTGGAGAAAGGGAGGAAGGGGTGGAGAAAGGGAGAGGAGGGGAGGGGAAAGAAGGGAGAGGAGGGAGAAAAAGGAGGAGGGGAGGGGAAGGAGGGGAGAGGGGGGGAAGGAGAGAGAGGGAGGGTAAGGGGTGGAGAAAGGGAGGAAGGGGAGAGGAGGGAGAAAAGGGTGGAGAAAGGGAGAGTAAGGAGGGGGAAGGGAAAGAAGGGGGAGAAAGGGAGGGGAAGGGAGAGGAGGAGGAGGAGGGAGAAAGGGAGGGAAAAGGAGGGAAGGGAAAAGAAGGGGAATGGAGGGAGGAAAAGGAGGGAAGGGGAGAGCAGGGAGGAAAGGAGGGAAGGGGGAGAGGAGGGAAAGGGAGGAGGAGAGGGGGAAAAGGGAGGAATGGAAAAAGCGACGAAGAAGAGTAACATCATCGAACACGAAAAGAAAAGGAAAAAGTGGAGACAACGCCCCCCTCCCTTTCCCCTTCCTCTCTCCCTCCCTTTCTCCTGTTCCCTTCCCCTCCCTCTCCTTCCCCCTACTATTT